AACCTGGGACAAGGACAAGGACAAGGACAAGGACAAGGACAAGGACAAGGACAATGACAATGACAATGTATTTTGTAGATGTTTGGCTAAGGGTGAGGGGGGTGAGGACCGTCTTGAAGAGCTGAAGAATAACATGGAACCTGTCAAAGAGTTTGTGGAAATTCAGGTAACTTTTTGGAAAAGAAGTTTCCCAGTTAAATTTTTTTTTTTATATATTGGCAAAAAAAACTTTCTTAGGGGAACAAAACAAGGTGTTTTTAAGGCAGTAATAATGATTTTTTTTCACCAGTAAATACTCAAGACCTATGATATATGAGGTTATTCACAACAAACCAACAGACAAGCCATATTTATGTATTACAGGCTATGTATGAAAACGACCCAACAGGAGCAGTCGAAAGGTGTAAGAATTTTATGACCGCAGGTAAATTCTATGACCGTGCAGGTAAATTTTTATGACAGCCTAGCAGATAAATTGTATGACCACAGAATGATTTAGAGGATTAAATGTTTTCGTTTTAATACAGGGTCACCCAAAAAGAATGATCTACCTTAAAATCTCCAGACAATCCCGAGGAATATATAGTATTCAGTACTGTCATCTCTAAAGTCTCATCCTTTGTGGTTAACCCTGTAATGAAGGTGTCACTGTTTAAGTAATTCTTCTGTATTTTTTTAAGCACTGGCCTTTAGAAATTGTCTTGTGCTATCGGACTTTTGAAACACATGTTACACGTGTTTATCGACTAAAAGTAAACGTGATTTATCAACTGTCACGTTTCGCCTTAGCCCATATCTGCATTCGTGTTTTTGTTGTAAATAAAGGAATTTCTTTAAATAACCAAAAATACGCAGTTTTTCGGTTTGTCTTTTTAGATAAATATATCCCGAGATCGTTTAATCAGAAAAATAAACCATTGTACATCACAATTAATTGTTTTAAACCTCTATTTATAAAATTATCAGAGAAAACAAATGTGTTTAACGTGTTTTCTATTAAACACGTGATTAAAGTGTTAATGGAATTGTTACCCAAAGGAATTAAATTTTTGCCCCAAACTTTTGATTTTCTAAACCCTTAAAATCTTTTAAACACATCATTGTAGACCTTTAATATTTCAAACTATGATTGATGTTAGATCAAATAATTTATGTTAGAAATATCAAAGGTTTGAACCATTAGGTTCTAAAGATATAGGAATTATAAATTTTTAGTTTATGGCAAAATCTCAGTTCCTTTCAAGTATTATACCTCAGTTTAAAGCTTTTCCCCCTTTAATCCTCTATTATATTTATTGTTTTCCTCTATTGAATAGATACTACCAATTTCCTTAACTTTGTCTGCTGCTGAAATCCGTTTTACATATAATTAAGACAACGTTAAAAAGTTTGAATTGTGAATAGGACGTGGAAATTAGTAATCGTCGGTTCGTTTATGAGGGTTTTTGCAGTTCCATAAAAATCTGCCTTTCTTCTCTTTTAGGATAAAAATATTGCAAAGTTTGTTTTTCAAAAAGCCAACGTTAACACAAAACAGTTTAGAAACATTGAAAGTTTTATTTAAAATTTTGAAAACCGAACTAAAACATTTTTGAGACAGAAACAATCTCCAGAACTGACCAGGGTCAACCCAGACCGAAATATATTTTCAATAAATATGGAATTAAAACCTAATCATCTCTTCCAAAGAAGAGTCATTAAAACTACGTAAACAGCTTCTTTAATAATGTATTTTTTTCAATTTAAGATATTCTTAGATTTTTGTTGTTATTCTATTTTTTTTATTTTTTTATTGATCAATAAATCACAACCATTAGTTTTTTTCCCAAAATAATGGTAGAACGTAATCGCCGATATATTCTTTATCAATTTATTACTATATTCTTTTTAATTTTAAATTCAACAATTTTAGAAAACATAATGCCACCCTTTATTCTTATAATATTAATATACTTCGTTGATAAAGATTTGTTCACATTTAATACAAAAAGTAAAGACTTTTCTGACAAAAAAAAACCTAAGAATTGAAAAAATAATTTCTAGGGAATTTTGAATTTGTTCGACGCGGTGATGTTTATGGATTCATGATTGAACATTTTGCCAGGTATCAGCTAATTCATTCATTCATCCTTTTTTTAGAATTGGGGGTAAATATTCCCACAACCTCTATTTTTGGAGGTTTTTAAATGTTTTCTCCTTAAAGGGAGTGTTCGTGAAAAATGAAAGGGGGTATAGGCTTAATGCGATAAAAAAGCGCTTTTGATCGCTACTAATCTTACTTCTATCTGTTGCGTCTATAAGGAGAAAATTGTTAAAGACGTCTCATACCGAATAACATGGCGTCCATACAAATTGAGAAAATTGCAACATACGACTTAGACTGTAAAAAAATCAATTTAATTTCAAACAAATCATTCAGATATTACAAACAAAAGTAACCGATTTTTTATCGCATTAAGCCTATACCCCCTTTCATTTTTCACGAACACTCCCTTTAAACACTTAATTTTTTATGTTTTTTGTTATATTTCATAAACAAATAATTACCTACTTACCTCTTACCTACTTTCATCCTTGTAGTCACCCATCCTTTCATTCATCAACTATCTCATTCATACTTTTATAACCAAATTTGGTATAGAGACATTGTCTATGATATGCATTCCGAATTGAAAAATCCTTTATTTTTAAAATTCCTGTTTCTTTGCAACCTGCAGATAGTGTAAACCATTAATATTTCAAGCTTTGGCTTTTTGATTTAGCATAGTTTAAAGTTTGACACCCGTTTGCAAAGATAAAAGGAATAGAAAATCATAATTCAATAAATTGCTTATATAACCCCCCCCTAGAAAAAGGCCATAGAGAACAGGTATAGGGTTGACATGCATCCTCATAGACCAATTGTTCAGGGCCAGCTCATTGAAAAAAAAATAGATCGATAACTTTTGTAGTTTGGGCGCTAGGAAGGGTTGAAAAAAATGTCAAAAAAAGTTTTTAAAAAATGTAAAAAATACTTTTTTTTTAAAACAAATATCAAAGTGTGACACATGTCAATACATCCATTTTTCAAGGGCTTTAACAAAATATAGTTTTTTTTGATCTGTAGCTTTAGTCGTAGAAAAATTATCGGCTATCTTAGATTTTATTTTTACACAAATCGGAAATTTTTACCGTCCTGTACCCAACACTATGCATAAAAAAGAAACATTTTACAAAAAATCCCTTAAATTGCTATTTATTAAAAGTCAATCGTACCGTTGTTAATCGGGCGTTCACCAATTTGCATAGAGGATCACTTGAAACTACGACGCTTACTGTCCCTTTAATAAAAAAGGACGACGCTTACAATCCCTTTAATAAAAAAGAACGACGTTTACAGTCCCTTTAATAAAAAGGACGACGTTTACAGTCCCTCTAATAAAGAAGGACGACGTTTACAGTCCCTTTAATAAAAAAGGACGATGTTTACAGTCCCTTTAACCCTGAGTTTATACTTAAATAAAATTGTAAAATGTATGTTCTTACTTGTTTAATGTTTATCTTTAATCCAAGTTGTTTTCATGAAAATAATATATTAAAGGGACATGTTGTTGTAATTGTAATATATAAAATACGCAAAAATTACTTTTGAAAAGAGACCACAATTAAAAGGAATCAGTTAAAAAAACGGTACCTTTATGAATCGGTAAATTCAACTCTATCATCGAAGCGTCACTTAAAACATCGTTTACTGTCTCTTTAAGGAAATATTATGAATGTCAAAACAGTGAGGTATTTTAATGATAAAAATCTTTTTTCTAATGAATTATTTTGTCTAGGATAAAGCAGTATAAACCCGCCTACACACTCATAGAAGATATGAAGATGAGGATTAACAATGTTAATATTGTTTATTATGTTAACCTTCAAACCATCAGGTAACATGCAGTGATAACAGAATAAAATGGACCGAAGGTCGTCTCCCTAAAAATATAATTTTGGGACTTCGTAGCCCATCTAATTTTTATTTAAGGCCCAAGTATTAAGAAGGCAAACTCAGACTTTGTAATACATATATCTTTGCAACCTGATGATGTAGACCTGTGATATTTTTGAAATATCACATTGGATTGCATAGATTTAGGGAATAGAAAATCAGAGTTTGTGGCAAAGATTCAATTTCTTTATTTTTTGTTCACTTTTTACTCAATACTCTTCAAAAAGAGTAGATATACTTGCAAACATGTTTTATGTAAGAATTTTAACAAACGCAAAAATTACCTTAATTTGACCTAAAAGTTAAAGATTTTGCAATTGTTATAATTGATGAAACAACTGATTAGTAATTATGTTCAGAACTCTTGGGAACTCTTGTTCTTTAAGAATCTTCAGATTTGTTTAATCTTTAATCGATTTCCTGCTTGGTAATCGTACCCAGTGTATTTATCTTTAAAAATTATTTTTAATTGTGACTTTTGTGTTTCTTGCAACAGAAGTAATAGAGAAGTTGTGAGAAGTAAACAATTGTCAATCTAGAAAAAACGACAATTTCTTCCACATTTTTAATCAAATAAAGGTTCAGAGGGAATTGAATCAGGCATACCCTGCTCTATTAAACATGAGATTACATTAAATTACATTGACAGTCCCTTTAAGAGAGTTTACAACCATTATGAAATATTCTTAAAGAAAAATTAATTATTTCAAAGAACTTTGTATATTTTTTTTGTTGCAATTGTTTCTGTTATACAGCAATGCGTCAAAAAATACACCTTCATTTGTACTTAAGCACTACTTAACTATTTATTTTCAAAGACTCTAAAGAAGAAGTTTTCTGAAAAATTTGCAATTAAAATTTCAAAAACAGTAAAGTTCATTTCATTAGAAATTAAAGAAACATATTACGTAAAAATATTGTCAAAACTCTTACAGTAAACTCAAATTTTCTAACATTTATAACGATCTTTGCAACCTTTGCAACTTTGGCTATTAGATCATAGCAGTCTAAAGCCTAAGAGTTCAGAGAGTGGATCTTTTCTAAAAAGTATCGTTAATCTTGATCCATCAATTAAAGTTATGGCTGCAGGGTATGACCACCATAAGATATCGAAGGATGGCATAAATGCATAAGATGCAAAAGTTGTGATTGAAGCTCCTAACTTTTAAAAAATGTTTTCAGGAATATTGAAGCAGCACTTGGCGTTGAGATCCTTGGAGCTGGCGCAGAGGATGAAGAAGATGATGAAGACGACATTGCAGATGAAACTGATCGATTTAATTAAAAACGATATTGTGTACACAATGTTGACATTTAATTAAGCTTAAACACAACATTTTTAATGAACCTCTTAAGTTCTTTCTTTAAACAATTTATGTTCTTTTTGGAAAGGAATGAAAACACAATAAAATTACTTTTAATAATTGATTTAAAAACTATGTTGTTGCATTTTTAATTCGTATATTTGTGAATAAGTTTTAAAATAATATATTTTAAGTGTGTAAAATGTGAAAGATTCTACTAAACATAATTATAATGTTTAATGTAAATAACTTGACGATCAAGGGAAAAATGTTGACAAAAGAAGAGTTGTAAAACCATTAAAAACATAATTGTAGGATTCAATGAAAACTTTATTCAATATTATGCAAACTTCAAGTTTAGGTGAAGGTGTATAATTTAATGATGTTAGTAAAACCTTATAAATTTAGACTGACTAACAATGCCGTAAATTATTTGAGAACTCTTAGACCTTGAAGTCTTTTTCATGTTTTGTGGGACTATTGCACTATTGCAGATCCAGTGGGTGGGTAAATATAAGATTATAAAACTGATCAAAAAATACTGAATAATTCAGAAATACTGCCCAATCAAATTTACTTCAGTGCACGGAAACTAGTAATTCATGGAAGGATCAAACATAGAATCAAACATGTTGTCCTTAGTCAGGTATATAACAATTGAGATTTAGGGTCACAATTGAACATACGTCGACAGTCCAATACGATATCAGGAAAATAGTAATTTCTACATAAGACATCTTTCTATATAATCCATTTCAGGGATACACAAATACCTTCTATTTTATTAAAATTTCTAAAAGCATGAATTACTTCTAAAATCATTTCTTCAGTAATGTTTTTTTTTTAAATTACTGTGTGTCCCAATACAAATTAAAAGCAAATATTTCAAAATAAATAAAAAATGCTATTTTGATATAAATTTAAAATCTTATTCTTTTCGGGTAACCCTGTTTGTTTTTTATATGTTTACTACGGACTGTGGGGGGAGGAAAATATATGAATGCTCATTTTTAGACAAACTAAACAAACTTGTTAAACTGATCAAATATTTTGGATTTTATAATCACACCGTTCAAAACAAGATATCCATGTTCTTCAAGGACGCTTGTTCTAGATACCGCTAGAATATCAGAATAGTACATACAACCAGGATATCAAAATATCAGAATTGTACATGAATCCAGGATATCAAAATATCAGGATATCAGAATATCAGGATATCTGAATATCAGGATATCAGGATACCAGAATATCAGAATATCAGAATATCAGGATATCTAAATACCAGGATATCTGAATACCAGGATATCTGAATACCATGATATCAGAATATAAGGATATCAGAATATTAGGATAAAAGAATATTAGGATACAAGAATATCAGGATATCAGAATAACAGGATATCAGAATAACAGGATTTCAAAATACCAGGATACCAGAATACCAGGATATCAGAACACCCATATATCAGAATAGCTGGATACCAGGATACCGGGAAACCAGGATATTGGATCACTAGGATACATGCAGGAAACTTGTTGTTAAGAAAGAGAATTTTCATTTATTTCTGATCACTTTCAGAAATGCATCGAAATAAACCTTTTTTCATTTATGCGTCCGTTTCTAAAATTATGTAAACACTCCCTTTCATGGTCACGTATTTGTTCCAGGCTCGCTTTTAAAGTTTAAGTTAAAGTTTACCATCCTGGCATTTTTCTGACTTTGTTTGAGAACCATAGAGAGAGGGAGAGAGAGATATTGAGAGGGAGAGAGAGAGGGAGAGGGAGAGAGAGAAATGCGTTAAATCATGATTATTTCTTCAATGTTCCTTATAAGCAAGGAATGCGCAAGTCACTTTTGAAGTGAAACCGCAATTGAAAGAGAACATTGATATATCTAAAAATGTTGCATTGCTTTCATTATAAATCGGGCATTACTATGTATTTTTGCATGGAAAGTCTCTTGTAATTATGGTTACAGTCACTTTAAGAGTGTTATGTGTATGTTTGTAAAGGGGGGGGGGGTCCGACCTATCTTATTTACAAGTTCTGTTTGTACAAACCTTTATATATTGTTTGTATACTGGATGTCACAAAATACAGGTTGTAAAAGAAAAAATAATGAGGAGAAACTTTATTGTAAAGCCAGAGATTAAGATTATTATTTTTCCAAGTAAGATAAAAAATTACTGTTTTTGTTGCCACCCTGCATTTACAAAATTTCTTTTTTTGTTGCCACCCTGCATTTACAAAATTACTGTTTTTGTTGCCACCCTGTATTTACAAAATTACTGTTTTTGTTGCCACCCTGTATTTACAAAATTACTGTTTTAGTTGCCACCCTGCATTTACAAAATTACTGTTTTTGTTGCCACCCTGTATTTACAAAATTTACTATTGACCTTGGGCACTTCAAACAGAGACTGAGATAAAACAATGGAGTCATAATTTTAGAATCTTCGTCGAATCCTAATTATTATTGCTGTAATAAAAAATCAATAAATATGTTCCGACGTTTATGTAAACAAGGAGCCTCGTTAAAAATGAGACTTTAGTAATCCGTGACACGTTCTGCGCAAAGCAAAGAATCAACGGAAAGATCATTTCCGAAAAGGCAACAACCGGAAAGAACAATATCAGTCTAAATGATCTTAATCGGTTCGGAGAAAATTTTCATGACTTTGTAGGTTCATTAAATTAAAGTTTCAACCACAATAGGATTTAAAAATTTAAAAAAAAATATTTAGCATTTGTTTCGCTACTTAGCGAAATAACCGAACATAAATAATCAAGATTCATATAAATATAAGCATAATTACCGCAGTGGTCCTAGAATCTCACACGGTTTTAATAATCGACGATCTTTACATGAAATACAAATATATACTAAGGTAGAATCTGCTCGCTTCCACGCAGAAAACTTGCGCATGCGTAGTCGGACTGTAAACAGCTTCTAAAACTAGTTCTCTACAATACGTTCTGTACAGATCCTCAGGGAGAACTCATAGATTCGCAGGGGTATCACATAGACTTTATGAACGCAGCATAGCTCGCGTAACAGCATTTTTAAGAAAAGACTTAAGAGACGACTGTACGGAATTTATTCATTCATATTTCTTACATTTCTGTATAAACTATAAGAAAGGAGAAGATAAAATTTATGCAAAATTAGTGGATACCATTTTGTGACCTCGTAGCTTTATAGGAATGACATATACTTTGCAGAAAAAAAACTCAGCGGGAGCGGTTGAATGAGCGGTTGTGATCGAGCCCAGAGTCTACGCAGTCTAGAATAAGAAATGCAATTTTTTTCTTAAATTTTATATTTGTTCAATCTCTAAATTCGTACTTTTTTCGTTTACATTTTTTCCACTTTTTAAATCTTTTTTATTGGTTCAACCATCTGAGATAAACCCAGTGGTTAAATGAATAAGGGTTGCTCAAAAAAACTTAAAACCAGCGGTTGAAAGAAAATAAATTATTTCCAATCTTAAACCCAGCAGTGTTTTAAGAAAGACTTTGTTCCATTGGTTGAAAGAAAATAAATTATTTCCAATTTTAAACTCAGCAGTGTTTTAAGAAAGACTTTGTTCCATTGGTTGAAAGCAAAAGTTTGTTGAAAAGCTTAAACCTGCTGGCGGTTGAAAGCAAAAAACTGTATTATCTCAGCGGTTGAACTAATGTAAAAGTTATTAAAGAGTGGATAAAAAACGGAAAAAGGACGAATTTAGCGGTTGAACAAATCTTAAATTTGAGAAAAAAGTAGCATTTTTTATTCTACATAGCGTCTGAGAATAATTAATTTATCCGTTTATCCATTAAACATTTCAAAACTTTCAATAGCTTTATATTAAGAGAAGTTATGATTGAAAACAGATACAATTTTAATTACGTTAAAATTACTTCAAACTCTAGTTATTCTAATAAAACTAATAACTATTTTACATAAGGTAAAATTGCACCCTGATCTCTAATATAGTTCTCCTTAAATCTATTTAATTGAAAAGTTTTGTTATCATTATTGAAATTAGGTGGAAAAAAATAAGCAAAACAGCCAAAAGCTATTTTCCACCTAATTGCTTTATACTTGTACTGTTAATATAATCATCAATTTGTAATTGTAAACTCGTTCTGTATACAGATACATGTATTTAATCAATAAACTTCACGTCATTAGCTGAAATTATTTTCAAGACAGTGCAGTTCGTCAAATTATACCTTCTAGTTTTCTAATTTAAAGAGTTTAAAGTTGTCATTCAAGTCTCATCCTTTGTGGATGACCCTGTACACTAGATATATGCAGTTTTGAAGACATTTATTATTTTCAAAAATAGATATTCAATCTTAAAGGGAGTGACCGGCTATGTAAGGTAGATAAATTGAGTATGCAGTGTTGTGAAAAACTTCTTTTTACGATCTGTAAATCCTGAGTTTAAATGTCGAATTTGCGCTCAAACTCAGGATTTACAGATCTTTAACAAGTTTTATATGTCTAAAATGGATCTGAAAGAATTGTTTGTATTAGAATAGAACTTATTTTATAATTCATTTGAAAATAATGTAAAGTATAATAAAATAAACTAGTATCAATATCATAAATTTGTATTTAAATGAAAATATGTCCATTTATTACGATTGTACTAAAACACATTATTCTTCTTTAATATCACCAATTTTGACTAGAATTTCAATAAAATTTTAAATCAACCACATTTATAGAAAACCTGTTCTTTTTTGATTCAATGATGTTTTTATAAATTGTATTATAATTCGGCTGATTTTAGAAGATTATAAAGAGAACTTTAATGGCCACAAATCTTTTTAACAAAACTCAAATTTTCTAATCCTATATCATTGAAGCATGCTTGTGTAAACTTTTTATATTTCAAAATTGGATAATTTTTTTTAACAGAATGCAAAGTTTTGAACATTTAAGGTCTACAACATTGGGTTGCAAAGATATATGGATTAAAAATCAGAGTTTGCAGCGAAGACTAAATCCCTTTCATGTTGTCTTATCAATTTTCCCTCATTGATTCGTTTTTTACAAATAATAAAAATTTTCAAAAATAATTTTTTTATGGGTTTTTAACTTTAGGGATATCCAGCTGAAGATTGAAGGACTGAAGAAGATTTTCTAGAGTTGTGTCAGTATCCCCAATAGAATCTGAAATTGAATTAAAATTAAAAGTAACAGTTGCAAACATTACAGAGGTTCTATTTAGGGCTCGTTCAGACATTTTTGAAATTCTTTATTAACGGTCAATATCGTTAACATCTAAATGTATTATTTATTTTTCCATTTCTGTAGGTTTCAAGCAATTTTAAGCAGAAAAATAAAGGAAAATTGCCATTATTTTTTGTTAACAATTTTTTATGATTCATGCTGTTTGTTAACAAATTTTTTGTTAATTTCTAAAATTAATTGCATTCACAGAAAATTGTCCTGCCCTAGTTCTGTTCTGAAAATATTGCTAAAAGGAATTGAGTCTTTGCAACAAGCTTTGATTTTTTAATTTCTATATTTTTGTCGTAGACCTTAGATATTTCAAAATATGAATTCTGTCAGATAAAAAAATCTAAGTTTGAAATATGAAGAGTTTACTCCATCAGGTTGCACAGATATAGGAATCAAAAAATTTGAATTGTGGCAAAGACTCAAGTCCTTTATAGAAAATACGTTCAAAATTGTAGACAAGTGAAAAACCGCTGAAATGAATATTGCATTTATGCAAACAAAGAGGCATTAATTAAGCTTTTTTGAAATCATGGCTCAAATGAAAGTATTATGTAGATATGTTCTTTTTTCATAATTTAAGAATTAAATGTCTTGTAAAAAATTCATTATCGAGAAATAGAAATCTCTATTTGCCTGTTTGTTAGTATGACCGGTAATAACACATAAACCTTTTGAACTGAGTTTTTGCCACAAACTTTAGCTTTTTCCCCCTTTATTTCAGCAACCCAATGTCGCAGACCTTTGTTATTTCAAATTATAAGTTTCGTAAGATTAAATTGTTTAATTTTAAAATGTCGTCAGTTTACACCACCAGGTTGCAAAGATATAGATATAACTCGGTAGGTGTGTTCTTTGCGTGTTTGAGAAAGTTTAAAATGAGTAAGTTGGCTTTTTGGAAAAAGTTTAGTTTCCAAACAAAGCTGGGTTCACAAGCTAGTTGTTAACAGTACAGTTTTTTTTCTACATTGTTAAGAATTTTGCTCAGAATTTATGTCAAAATAATACCCTCTCTGCGAAATCTCTATATCTATTTGGTTAATGTACAGAATATCGCTGCATTATGCACCGAAAGCTAGGTTTAGGGTGAAATGCACATTTTAACAATTTCTTGCAAGGAATTTTTCTAAAGGACGAAAGAGCAAAAAAAAATCTTGTGACAACTGTTTTTCCGATCTGCTGTTAACCCTATAGGAACATATCATGCTTTCATAAATGATTTTTCAATCAATCATGCAATGATGCAATACTGAGCATTATCAGGAAACAAAATATATTCCTGTCTAATTAAAATTATTAGAATCCCACCAAATCCATGGAAAACATTAATCATCTCAAAGAGTCTGTAGCCTTAATTGCATGTAACCCCCAATTTAAGCCAATTGTGTTTGATAATTGATATTTATCTGCAGAATTGCTTACTTGCAATTGTTTATAACTTTGTTTGCAGGATGTTTTACATTTTTAAAATATTATGATTTATCTTCTTAGAGTCACAGAAAATAAAATTTACATTCATATTTTTAAAAACATTAAATATTTCTAAGAAGGATTTTGAACAAGAAAAATATGGATTTCTTTTTAATTGATGATCAGACAAAGGTTTTAAAAGTATGAGGATTACTAAAAATTTCATCTAAAGTCCTTTTAGTTTGCAGGGAAAAAAGCTCAAAATTTCTAGAAGTCAATATAAACACGGATCCAATTGATGGATGATAGGAACTGGTGCAAAGATTTAGCAGTCTAGTGCAATTGTACTGAACGCATTTCCTTTTATCAACTGGTCTATGTTACTAAGTATAAAATTGACCCATCTTGTTTTATGCTAAAAATCTAGGCTGGCTAGATCGTATGTTTATATTCTTTTCGTCTGAAACTTCGTAGTAAAAACTAAATTGCTTCCACTCAACTCCAATTCAGAAGTTTTCTCCTTGCCTGTATCTGTTTCTGGAATTGTAGCGTCGTATTGAGCAATAATTGGCTCCTCCACCTCCTCCCCCACACTGGGCAGAGAAGAGTCGGACAGGGTCAAATCTGTGAGGTCAATCTAAATATTCATCATTTTACAAGAATAAGCATATTTAGTGATATTTAATATTTGTTAGATAAACCAAAGCATATTGTGTAAATGAATTGATTGTTTTTTTTTTACTTTTTCTGAATGAATGTTGTGTAGGAATTTTTTTTTTTTTAAATTAAAATAAAAAAAATTTTAATTTAAAACAAAAATACACTGCTTATGAATGATGTAATTGAGGGTTCATTAAAACTCTATCTAAATAATGTAATTGGATTATGCTAAAATATACACTTAGCAGCATAAAAAAGGCATACATTTATTATTTCTTTAAATGCACCAATTTAAACCTAAAAATCGGCTATTTCAATTTAAAAACATAGAAAAACGTTGGCTATAAGAGCAACAGTTAAAATTGTTATTAAGAAAAGAGGACAAGGGGCCCTAAAATGCTTAAATTATATTTGGGATTGTGTGATATAGTTAGATTTTAAGATCCAATAAGTTTAACAAAAAAAATTCAAAACCTTACAAAGAAACATTTTTAAACTTACAGGTATTTTTGCTTCAGGAAGGGGAGGAAGTGTAAACAAAACAGGATCCTCAAATCGAAATTCTTTCCGTTCATTGGGTATTTTTGAATTCTTGAATCCCTCCTTTTCGACAGCTGCTGGTGGGTCAAAGGGTAGATTTGCTGGGAGGTAGGAGTTGGATGGCACTTTAGTTTTTTGTTTAGATCCTGCAGAAATAATCAAATCTCATTTTAAGGATTTTTTTTAACAATTATGGATGACATTTTTAACCTTAGAGGTGAAAAATACATTTTTTTTATACTCTGACTGCTAACTAAAAAATACATTATCCGGAAATCAGATTGAAACAAAAACTATGATTTTCAAGGATTTATAAAATGGATTTCAGAATTCCTCTAGAAGCTCCTTGGGACAGCACATCCCCACTTCCACTAGGTGTTTGAATTCCTAAATATTAATAAAGTATTTCTAAGAAGGTATTAAAATATCAATAAAGAATTAAAATATCTATTTTTGAAAATGAAATCATCCTGCCTGGAACTGGTCTTGAAGCAGGTCTGAAAGCAGCTTGTTCTTGATTGGACTCTGAGTTAGTTACTTGATTCTCTTCTCTTGGTCCAACTTCTGGTTGTTTACTCTTCTGCAGTCTAATGCCCGTCTGGATACTCTGAGCATTGGTTTGGTAACGAGGAGTAGGTTTCATTGGCTGCTTATTTCCTTTCTTTCCAGGGATAAAGTTTTCCTCAGTGGTCGTGAAAAGTACAGGAGAGGAAGATGTAACTGATTGTGTAACAACTTTGTCAGGTTGGGATACTGGTGCCTTAGAAGGGGAGTCTAAAGTAGGTGTTTCCTTTGGCTTAGATTTAGTAGGAGGTTGCTTATTGGCCGTCGATGGTTTACTTTTTCTATCTATTTTTTCACTTGTGTCTGAAGGTTTAGACACAACTTTTACATTTTCAACCTTATCAACAAATGATGGATCATTTGTAGTAGGCAAAGGTGTTGAAATGTCATTTTCAGATGTTGGGTCCAATATTTTCTTTTTTGCTGTGACTTCAGATTTTTTAGATGGCCTGGGCCTAATGTTTTTGTTTACATCAACTGCAGTTTGTTCTGTAGAAACAATCTTTTTGTTCTGTCCTCTTTTAGAGCTTGGAACTGGAAGTGATTTTTCTTCATTTTCTGTTTTGATGCTGACAACTCCAATCTCATTGTTAAGTATGTAGCTTGATTCTGCTTGGGCACAATCTACTTTATACCTAGGCAAGGAGCAAAATCTGAATGATTATCTGGTTGTTGAAATTTAATTTTAAATTAATTTTAAATTTAATGAGAATATTACCACCAATCACAAATAAACTTGGCTTGGTTAAATATGGTTCCATTTGGACAGAGAAAAGAAATCTTGGTCATCTTTCTTCTTCCAGCTAGACATACATGATAGCCCTAAACAAGAGACAAATTTTGGACTATAAGGCATCATGAAAATACAGTGAACTTATAAAGGTTCCAACATTTCAAAGCTGTATTTAGGAAAACTTTGCTTTTCTGAAAAAAATACTGAATTTTTATCCAAAAAGAAAATATATGGAGAAATTCAACCTGAAAACAATCAGTTTTTTTCATAAACTTCTCTAAGGGTCAAAATTTGTCATCATGTGAAAAATAAAATTGTATTCAAGTAGAACGCAGTTCAAATGAATAAATAGGTTTTTACCTGCAAACATGAATCATTAATAAGTACAATATACTGAAAATTTAAAGAATATCATATTACACAATACTTATGACAAATGGATATTTTTATTTTCTCAACATGTTCCTATACATAACGTCTGTAGTTTATTGTAGAACTTTTTTACATTTTATGTCGACGTTATTTAATGATTAAAAAAAACTAATTCTGAAAGTGTATCCACCCCCAAAGTAGGAGTTTTGAACATCGAATTTGCGCTCAAACTCAGGATTTACAGATCTTTAAAACGTTTTTATATGTCTCAAAATAATCCGAAAGAAGCTTTCAACAACACTGCATACACAGTTCAACTACCTTACATTGCTGGTCACTCCCTTTAAAGTTCTAAAGCTTTATAATAAGTTTTACAAGATTTAAAAAAAAACAATATATACAATATACAATAAACATGTTACATAGTTTTCATGAAGAAAGTTCACCTGACATCCTAAATCAGGGTCTGCATAGTAACCTCCTAAACATACAGTAATAACTAGAAAATTGTGGATTAGGTTGATGACATTATAGCAGCAATACTAGATTTGATGTTGTTACAAAACAAATAAACTTAATTGTAACTTATTAAAATAGATTATGGGGTCTGTTTACACTGCACAATTGCTGTTTCTCATGCTATTTTTTAACTTGAGTCTAAAAGACATCTTACTTTTCCAGAGACTTCTTGGTTCTTACTGTACACTGTATAATATTTTTAGATTTTATTTTCAAAATTCACTATCACAATAACGAATTGGACCATTTTAAAATGAGATATAAGTATTAAAAAAATGATATCCAAAGAGAGAGAAAAAGAGTGGATTAAGGACTAAAATTAAAAGTTTCCACAGTGGATATTCGGATTAAGAAGTTGGGATTAAAGGTCATCCATTCTAAAGTTCCCAGCTCAGGAAGTCTAGATTGACAGGAGAAGGTTGATTTAACTAAACTAAAGCTTTAATCCTAAGTTCTAAGCTTTATCTCACAAATTTAAAAAACTTACCTGGATGTCTATATTCACAAGAGAACATTGATTTAGTTAAACTAAAGCTGTAATCGTAAGTTCTTAGCTTTGTGTCACAAATTATAAAACTTACCTGGATGTCTGAATTCACAAGAGAACATTGATTTAGTTAAACTAAAGCTGTAATCGTAAGTTCTTAGCTTTGTGTCACAAATTATAAAACTTACCTGGATGTCTGAATTCACAAGAGAACATTGATTTAGTTAAACTAAAGCTGTAATCGTAAGTTCTTAGCTTTGTGTCACAAATTATAAATCTTACCTGCAGATGTCTGGATTCACAAGAGAATGTTGATTTAGTTAATCAATAAGATCTAATCCTACGTTCTTAGCTTTGTCTCACAAATGGTAAATCTAACCTGGAAGCCTGGATTCACAAGAGAATGTTGATTTAGCTGAACCTAGGATTGGGTAATCTTCTCCAGGTTCTCCAGGGATACTTGACCTTAAAGAGCATGTTTGCTAAAAATTAAAGAGAAGTATATGCTAAATTGAATTTGAAATTGATTAGTATCAATTTTTTTCATTTGATCTTGGGCTAAGAGACAATCGTAAGAATCCAGTGAGATCCAATTTTGTATGTTGTGGTAAAAACGTTTTTTATAATGTGTGTGGTTTGGATGAAAATGATATTGATAAAATTTACAATTTTCATGCAATGAATGTTTTTTGAAATGTTTTCATTATCAAAACATCAAATGGAAAAAAGATTTATACTATTTTATTTTGAATTCTGTTCGGGTTTAGCATATACCCCGTTTTGTTTTTGTGAAAAATCCCTCTTAAGGAAATGTTTAGTTATTTTTCTTGCTGTGAAAACATTACTTCAAGAGACTGTCTTTGTAATCTTTAAGTGACCTTCCAGTTATAAAGGAATCTACCCGATTTAGTTTCCTTGAAACAAAGTCAAACATTGTAGAAACCCAATGTTTAGAAAAGGTTTAGCAACAAGGCAAGCCGTATTTTGCGGAAGAATATTTTTATATTTTTGAAAAAATTTAACTTTTTTGTAACATACCCCAGATATTAAAGAAGCAAAATAGCTAGGGTACCCAAGAGAGTTTGCTGTACTAACTTAAACCAATAATATTGATAATCCTTAAACTATTTTGCTCCTTTAATGTCCAGGGTTGTCAAAAGAACAAACAAAATAATGATAATTATAATGATAATCTACAACAATTACAAAGTCAAATTTTTTCAAAAAAAATAAAAAAAATATGCTCCCACAAAATATGCCTTGCGTAGCTATACCTAGCGTTTTCTATAATGTTTGACTTCCCTAAAAAAGTTCAGCAAATAAAGTACAGCTTTAAAAAGTGTATTTCTTAATTTTAACAGGGTTAAAGATTTCATACCCATTGCGTTTTAAATATTTGACAGTTTAATGTGTAGAAAATGTTTTGAAAATAAACTTGCAAGATGTCCTATTTTCAGGCAAAAACATCCTTATATCATCAAAGCCTAATTTCCCTAACGGCCCCGGGCCGGGTAACAATTTTAATACCCTTAATATAAATAATTCATGCTTATTTGAGTCTTATACAAAGTTACATATAAAAACTGAAACCCTTTCAATATAAGTAAAGCGCTTTGAAAGAATAATTAGGGTTTCTGTATAAATATAGAATTTTCATGGCAAATTAAATGGTTTTGCAATGAAAAAAGAAATTGCAATTGTAGAAAACTTTTTATGGTTTTAACAAAGTATGAGTAAATTCACGATTAAAAGTACAAGCAAAGACGACATTAATTCCGATTTATACTATTTATTATGAATTGTCTGTAGTATGCTAACCTTAACCAATCTAGTGGGTCCCCTGAACCATCATGATCCGCTTCAAAAAACAAAAAACGTCATTGTTATTTATTTAAAAATACAATGGAACCAGAAAACTGTGGAATAGGTAGACGACACTAAAGCAATACTAACGCGTATTTGATGTTTTTTAAATTAAATAGTTTTACTAGAAACTTGTTAAATCATTGTTATTAGGTTAAATGGTTCTGTTTACACTGCACAATTTCTGTGTCTCGTGTTCATTGAACTCTTTAATTAAAATTAATTAAAGTCATAGTTTGTCGAGTATTTTTGTTTTCCTTACCCAGAGTTTTCTGGTTTTCACTTATTTGGATTTTTTTCAGGCGTGAGTATAAATATTGTTATGAAAGATGCAACAAAGGGACTGTAAGCGTAATTAAAGAGAGAACATATACAGGAAAGTCTTGTTTTATTATAAAAATAATTATGTAATTTTTCTACTTTTCTCAATGCACTCTCGGAGTTAACCTACATTTTTTGCCCCCCCCCCC